TATAAATGCTAACTTTATATAAGAGGACACTTTTATAACAATTCAGGGTTTATTCAGTTAGTATGTTGCAATTATAACATATACTAGCCACATAAAGAAACTGTGCATTGTCAAAATATTATCCCAGTTGATAAGTACGATAACAATGTCAAAAGTACATATAAACTTTAATGGAGGGATCATGAGACCATAACAAGTTGGGAGAATTTCAATTGAAAAGTCAATCACAATGACGTCACTAGCACCATGTCACAAGCTCAATAACGGGTATGTCCACCATCGGCATTGAGAACAGCAGTGCATCGACGACGCATAGAGCCTATCAAACGTGCAAGGAAGGCTTGTGGGATGTCACGCCAGAGTCTCTCAAGTTCTGTTGCAAGGTCAAGGACGTTATCTGGCGGATGAGGAAGACGGTGTAGACGTTGATCCATCTCGTCCCAAACATGCTCTATCGGGGAGAGATCCGGTGAATTTGCAGGCCAAGGCAGTAAGTCAACGCTGTGGTGTTGCAAGAAATCCATAGCAACCCTTGCTGTATGAGGGCGACCATTGTCCTGTTGGAATGTTAACCCAGGGCCATGACGTTGCAGAAAAAGAATTGCCACAGGTCGAAGAATCTGATCCCTGTAGCCCACACCAGTTAAGTTGCCCTGAACAATCACCAAAGGAGTTCTTTGGCGTGCTGTTATTCCACCCCAAATCATCACGGAACCACCATCAAAGCGATTCCTCTCCAAGACACAGGCCTGTGCATAACGTTCTCCCACACGTCTATAGACATGTTGACGTCCATCACTATGGGAAATGTTAAACCTGGACTCATCTGTAAAAACAACATTTCTCCACCAAAACAAGGGTCTGCGGACATAATATTGGCACCACATTCGGTGAGCTTGTCGATGCCGTTGTGTCAGGATAGGCCGTATGGCGGGACGTCGTCTGATCCCGTGATGACGTAAACGTTGTCAAACTGTGTTGGAGTGGATACGGCGAAGTCCTGGGATGGTTCGGGCAGTCATCACTGCAGTCTGAAACCTGTGGCAAAGATGGGTCACCCTTATCCATCTGTCCTGTCTTGGCGTTGTTACACGTGGACGTCCAGAACGTGGCTGATCGATGGCGTCATTTGTGTTCTGGTAGCGTCTCACCAGTGCAGAAATGGTGTTCGGTGGCAGTGGAAATGTGCAGCCACTTGTCGTTGAGACATTCCCCACGGACCATCCCAATGGCCTCATGACGTTGTGCAGACAAGAGCCTTGGCATGCTATGCGTTTCAATAGCCGTTTAATTTTTTGAACGATCACAAGGGCAGGGGTTGAGCTTTCCAAAGTGACAGTATTGTGTAGCATTCATTTGCTCTGTTTCTCTTTCCCGGAATGCACGTGCAACAACGTATTACACGTCTCAAGGATGACCCCACTGACGTCACAGAACGTGGCACGTGCATGCATGTTGGATACATGTCACTAATCTCTGAGTTTAAATCCTTATGTGTCTACACAGGTTTGATAAATTTAGATTTTAAATTTTTGTATGCACAGTTTCTTTATGTGCCTAGTATACAAGAATTATGAAGTTACGAAATAAAACCATGTAAGGTATTTTTTATCGACCTTTTGATATTCAGCTCATGCCAATATGTTTCTCTTGAACACTGTAATATTAGAAGCATGATTAGAACGTTGGCAACGTTAGAATAATATTTTTGTAATCTGAGTCATCTATGCTCAACCAGTTATGACAATATGGGTTAGAAAAACATTAATTTTGTACCTAGCCAAGCATTTGCGGACTATTTCCTCACAGATGAATTAGCTATGATAAGCTGCAGACCAATGACAGTGATCTGGACATCAGTTACAACAACATGGGTTTCATCATCTTATGATACATTCATAACTGTGCTCTATGTTATTATATGATGTGGTTCTTATGCACATATTCAATTATTTTGTCAGTTTCTTGACAGGAATTTATATCTTGGAATCCTTAAAACATGTTTAATACTGAATATGAAAGTGCTTTATTTGCACATCGGGAGCACAGATGTCCCATTCTCTCTGAATTAATGTTCATACACTTGAACTAGACCTTAAAACCTGGTATTTACACTCTCATTTAGTGAGGATTTCCCTGTGTAATAGGTAGGAATCTGGCATTGGTCTGCTGTGCTGAAAACATTGACACTGGTACATGGTCTACATATATCATGAACATTTAAAGCAAGTAAGCCAGTACAAGAAAGATGTAGGAAAACAACACAAGCTGAACTGTTTTCCCTTTCCCATAATGAACCCAGATAAACAGATTACGTGTTTTGACATGGTCTTACAATGTTGACATGTTTACAATCAGCAGTTGGCAAAGGTACTGAAGCAATATGGTGGAGGGAGGCCTCTTTTGGTAGTCCTTAAACAGTTTGTTTACTGTTCCAGGTTTACCATATGCTTGAAATGATCGATTTTGGGGGTGTTAATATGGACACCTTAATTGTATTTTGCATATCTGATATTTCATATGATCCGTAAGTCAATGCTTTCTTCTTGATACTATAACTAAATGTCACTAAAATACTACAAACATTTCCCAGTTTGCATCTGAAGTACAGGGAAATTGAGCCTTGGAATGGGTTACAAAACTGATAATGGTAGCATCCTCTTCGCCTTTGAGATGATGTATTAATCAAACAGTTGCTGTTCGTCATGTGTGCTGACCACTCCTGTGTCCAGGTGGGCCTGTGACATAAGCCATCTTACCAACAGTCCCCACCTCCATCAGCAATCTCAGACCTGTGATGTAGGTGTAATGTAGGAGGTATGTTGTATGTTCAAACAGGCTGTTCCTTTTGTGTACCTCCAGATCACTGATCACACACATCAGTGTCAGAAAACTGCCCAGCCATAGTTTATGTACAGCGGGGCAGTCAGATATACATCACTCACTCTGTAGTTTGAACAGCTGAATATTTGCTAATGGCCTCTGGCTATGTGATGTGATTCAGTTGGGAATATTGTCAGAAAACATGGAATAGGTAACATTTTGAATTTTCATTTTGGATGATTTAGTTTTTGCTGGAATGTTGTTTTATAACTTGATCGAATAATATTATTTTAAATTTACGATTGGAAAGAATACTGTTATAAGCATAATTACATTCATGGATGTCAAACCCAAGGGGAGGTCTTTGTAGATGCATGTGGGATTATCTGTATATTTAGGGTGGGATTATCTGTATATTTAGGGTGCTTATATGTTGATTATTCTGATCCAAGACAAAAGTTTCTATTTTACACTGTACAGTACACAAGTACTATCTGCTGTCAGATTGTAATACATTATCAATTTACACATCATGAATCTTAAGCACCTAATACATTAACACCTTACAACAGTATACTTGACATAGTATTAACAGGTTTGTTCATAGTGCACCACAAACTCTATATTATTATCCTGTCAAGTTAAATATAAAGATATTGGGAACGTTCATACTTAAGGTTGGTTATGGTATTGGAAGCTGCTGAATATATTTGGTATCACTGCTTAAATATAGTGACATATTTGTCTTGTGGGGCACTGCCTATGATTTGTTTTTCTTGAATAATAGTCATGAGGAAACAAGCTAAGATATTGATGTCTTTTTTTTTCACAGTGAATAATTTCTGTTCACTAGAAAATGAAATAGTATATTCATTCACCTTCCTGGCAAGCTAACAAGTTACTAAATTACTATCTTGCAAAAATTTTGTCATTCATTGTGAAGGTACAGTATTTATACAATTGTGAATTTGAACCATTTTTTTAAAAGTGAATTGGTGGATGAGTGAGTAATATATTTATTATATAATTACATGTTATAGGCAACTATTACTGGAATACTTTGCTCATTTCTTCCAAGGATAAGAGTGTTTGTTAATCTGGTAGGTAGTGTGTTTACATTTTACTCCTAGGACATATTCATACAGTGGGTACAGTTCTCAAAGCTCATTGTTGTAAACACTACATAATCATTTCATTTTTTGGTTAATTTTAGTAAATAAATTATTTTTGATATGTCTCTGTCTGAAACGTAAAACAGATTATGTCCTTAGAGATTTTTCTGTGTTACATCTTCTTTTGAAACGTTGTACTCAAGAATAAAAAGAAGATGTAACCCAGAAAAATCTCTATGTTCATCAAATAGCATCTTCTAAAATGCCAATCAAGCAGATTATGTCCCTTCATCCAGTCTAGCTGGTAGTAGAGGAGACAGTGTGACCTTTGAGAGTATGCTGTATGGCATCTGACAGAGAGCAGAATACACTGACTGTTACTATGGACTTGCTCACCTGTGATCAACAACACTTCCACATCACTGTTAGTTCAACTTATTGCAGCCAATTAGTCATCCACATAAACATTTACCTTCATGAGGGGAACCTGTCAACTACCTGCATAGGATGAAGTCTTGTTTAATTGAACTGGTATATGCTATGTGTTGAGACATGTAGCATGGCTTGTTCTGTCATGGTCACAGTTTATGTCTGAGTCAGAAGGGATATCTAACAGAAGAACCGTTTGCATTGATGAATAACGGTAGTCAAAAAGTACATCTTTGGGGCATAGTTCCAAAACTACATTGAATAGTCTCCAGAATTAAGCATGAAAGTCAAAGAGTCCTTGACTTAACCCAAATGTTTCAAGTCATAGATTTGCTGGTTTCACATACAACAGGAACGAATGTCAACAACTGTGAGTGTACAAGTTTTGTATAACATTTCCTGGACAGATGTCACCTAAAGTATCATTGTATTGGTATTTCCCTGTGCAACATTGCCTTCAACATCATAGAGTTGGACATCTGCCAAATTTTGTATGTATATGTTTACATGATTACAATGAGTCATTTTGTTTTGGGGAATATTTTTCCTGAATTTCCTGGGGCATTGTACATTAAATAACAATTGTTCATAAGTTTGGACTTTCAGTTTGTTTATTGTTGGTTTTATTCATTTCAGGTGTAAACATGTAGTAAAAACTGGATACCTATGTTACTGTGTGTGCTGAAGATGTCAGAATGTGAAGATACCAGTCGGAAGCGACACGTGGCAGTGACTGTGACAACATTGACAGCAGTGACAGTAACAGCATAATGGGAGAATACTCCAACTACTCCACATACTCCCACTCTGAGGATAACCCCTTCACCCCAGATAGTCAGACGGGTACAGTCTACATCAGAATAGCTATACCGGAACTTAAAATTCAGGTAGGTATATCGTCAGCCATTGCAGTTCCTGGAGATTTATGGAATCATAGCAGCTTGAGAACTAATTTCAAAACATGTCTCTAGATGCTTTTGGTTTAGGTATTTTCTGTGTTTGCGACCATATAAACCTGGAAAATTTGATGTAAGATTTTTGGACAAAACCAAATGTTTTCTCAATGACTTCTATATTAATGCTGTATGTACAAGTGTGCAGTCTGGCCTTAAAGCAGCAACAAAACTGACTGGCTTAGTCAGTTCTTACAGGAGTTAGTGAGTTTGGTTTTACGCCGCTTTTAGCAATATTCCAGCAATATCACGGCAGGGGGCACCAGAAATGGGCTTCACACATTGTACCCATGTGGGGAATTGAACCCGGGTCTTCACCGTGACGAGAGAATGCTTTAACCACTAGACTACCCCACCGCCCCAGTTCTTACAGGAAGTGAAACAGTTCTGTGCCAAATATCAATTGCTTGAAAACATCTCTGGTAACATTCATCATTAGGAAAGACATCACTATATATTGAAAAAAGAAACATAGTGGTAATTACTGGATGGATATACATTTAAGGAAAAAATCATTATCTTATCACTGGTGCCAGGTGTCTCAATGTGTCATGAAGAAAGCTGCTGCTTAAACAACTGATTCTGATTTGGTGTAGTAGAACCTGTAGACAAATTTGTAGGTAAATCTTTGTGTATTGTATATGTATGTACCTTCTCAGTAGGAAAGGGGCGAGAGCGTAGCCTAGTGGCCAAAGCATTCGCTTGTCACGCCGAAGACCAGGGTTTGATTCCCAACATGGGTACAATGTGTGAAGATCATTTCTGGTGTCCCCTGCTGTGATATTGCTGGAATATTGCTAAAAGCAGCATGAAACTATATGGACAGTATTTTTTCCTATCTGACATATTTATTTGACACATATATACAAAGATGTGTTAGACTGCATGAAGAGTTAACTGATATACTGGTATATTTCATCCATGTTTTAGAAAATATATTTCTGCATTAATATAAAATAGTTTCTATGATCATATACATATCATGACTTAATTCATGTCATAAAAAAAGAGGTCTTTGGGAAAATGCATACAAGACTAAAGCTAGGTTTCCATGTGTATGTATTGTCTGCGTATTGCGTGATGTGTAGTGCATAGTGTCCAATTCCATGTGTACGTGTATAAAGGCCATGTGATGCGTGGAATCAAGACTTTCTTTTTCCTTTGCAACTTGTGTGTGCAATGAAAAAGATGTGACATTGGGAAAACCCCTTGGGAATCCCTACTTTCGGCCTCCGTATAGCTGCGTGATGCATATTCTGACACTTTTTGAGCGTATGCAAAATCACGGACTACACATGTGAGAACGGCTATTACTATTTAGTATAAAGTGTTGTTTACGCACTACGTGCACATGGAAACCCTGCTTAACGCTGCCAATAACTACTGTGAAAAATTAACAAAACCTTAAACTTCAAAACCAGTAAAATTACATATTTCGGATTTTTTATTGGTCAGTTGTTTGCCTTCGTCTGCTGACAACATCTGATCATAGCAGAGTCTGCTACATTCATGGAATATGGTTTTGACACACATGACATGATGTGATTTGGATTGTTTAAAATTGCTTGAACTTACACCCCTGCATTGTTTATAGAATCAAACACTGAAGTCACTGTCAATGTTTGGTAAATCATCTATGGGAGGGCTAACACAAATGACTGTGTTTTCATTTTCCCCAAAGTCAGAAGTATAAGCACATGTGATATAAGCTGATGACATAAGTGCACATGGAAAAGAATCAAATATTCTCCATTGTTGGAAAGAAAGCATGGAATATAGGCCAGAGATTGGTAGAGGTCACATCAATAAGAGGTTTTAAAGTTCTGATATATGTTAGGCTGGATTATGAAGAAAAGGGTTGGAATATGGCCAGAAAGTTCAAACTCTGACCTGTGTACCATACCAACTGTTAAAGCTGAAGAAAGGAAATTACTTCTTTAGGTAGAAGAAAGCTCTTTTGAGAACTCAACATGAAAGGAAATTATACTTGTCTATTGTATCATTATGTAAAGACTTTGAAATATTTGCCAATTTCAGTATAAGAGAGTTTGAAGACAAAAAGTGAAAATAGGATATAATTTAGTTATAGTTTTCTCTCTTTTATTATATGGGTTATAAACCCATGAAGGTACTGTGTATTTTGCTAAACAGGGGAGATATATTAGTAATGTTGAACCCTAGTACATTCATGATATGTGAATTCAGAACCATAATGGTTTTGAGGTTGTTTTATAGCATTTGCTTTATGTTTGGGAACTGCAAAACTGCACAGTGAGGCAATAAGAGAGCACTTCTAGAAGTTTCTACTGCATGTAGGTAACCTTGTGATGGAACATGACAGTGACACACAGATTGAACTGGGGTTTAAATGTACCAAATGTGTCTAGACTCTACCTGTTCAAGCACCTAAACTTCTGCAAGGTGGTAGAGGACAGTGAGGCAAGAACAAGAGTACTTTATCACACACACTGATGACACCAGACTTCAGATTGGTTTGTCCAAATAGCACATCGGATGTGAAAGCTTCTGTTTCTTCTGCACATGTGCACATATAACTCCCAAGTCACCATCAGCTAAAAGCTGAAAACAATATTGAAACAATATTAAATGTCAAATCATAAAAGGCAGAAATGCCAGGAGACAGTTATTGAGGGAAGAAAGTCATATTAGAGTAAAAATGAAGGTGGAAAAAGGCTCATCCATACACAAAATAGCCCTTGACAGAAAGAATTGATGGTATGCTGTATTGTTTATATTACACAGGAGGGTTTGTGACGTGTTCTGCTGCTAACAGTGTACACGTTCCAGTGCCATACTCATGATACCAGTATTACATCACTTTCCCTGCAGACACTCAGATTGGTGTGGCAGTGGTGGCTAAGTTATAACTCCTAATTTGTTGTTTGTCCTCTCTTGCCTCTGTTCCTCCACAAAACAGTAACCTTCATATCCACACCATCACCATTCATAACCAATACATTTCAGCTTCACTACCATTTTTTTGATGTTAACCTGTACAATCATGCCAATATGTATCCGTCATGAAATATGAACATAAATGCATAGAAAGTAATGAATTACTGAAATGTCAAACCTTTAAGGTTTCACAAAATCATAATGATGTCCCATGGACTTTTATAGTAACATTATATGTTGTTTTAAAATAACTAAGGTCTCAACAGCTATTACCTATGTGCACAGTCTGGCCTTAAAACAGCAATAAAAACAAACAGTTGACAGCTTAACCAGTTGCTATAAGATCAACCGTAGTTCTGCACCAATGTCAAGTATGAGAAAATATCTCTGGTCACATTCAGATTAAGTCATGTTAAGGACAGCACTGGATGTTTAAGAACATGGAAAGTTTGACTTCTTGGGTGGATGTACATTTAAAAACCTTACATATCTTACACAAAATCATCTAGTCTACACTGAAGGCTCTCTACGAGTACTGCTAGTTACACATCTGATTTTGATTTGGTGTAGTAGAACATTGACGTTTTTCAAATGGTCTGTGGAATAGTTGTAATAAGACTGATTGTAATGTAAACGTACATTTACTCAGTATGGAAAATCATTTAATAATAATAATTTTGAGTCCATTTATATGGCACCAACTCCATACACTATGTGTATGCTCATAGCACTACAAATATACTGCAATATTTGAGTCCACTTGCACTGAATAAATGCGATCTCTGGCATCATATTCAGTTGAGTATTTTGTAATGAATGGACTAATTTATGTTAATGTTACATGACATAAATATATATACTGGACTTTGACTGCTGAATTTTGATGGTTTGTTGGAACAATGAAACATCAGCAGATTTGGATGTTGCTGTTTTTGTGGTCTATGACTGCTTTCATGGTGCTTGGCGGTGCTTAATGTCATTGTTAAAAGTTATTACAGAATTTTTCTTACAACGCCAGACTTTGTTTACTTCAGTTGAAATACCAGAGCCTCTGTAGAGAGCAGTTTTGTAAATAAATATACTTTACATGAATATTACCAATGTACATACAGATGAAATTAACATCAATGTAAGATCAATGGTTACATAAGATGAAAATTCCAGAACTGAAACTATTCCTAGAAATAGAGATAGTTTTTTATCATGTCTCTCTGATTAGAATAATTAAAATATCATACTCTGCTTCATTTAGAAAAAAAACATGATGAAAACCCATGTTTTCTGTGTTACAGAAATGCCTGCAGTTCCAGCTGGATGATTCTGTGTATCAAGCCAAACAGAGGATACTAGCAGCCTTTTCCAAGGTGGGCATTCACACAATTATTAGATAGTTTGGTGTCCGCCCGGGAAAGCCACATTTGAAAAATACCAATTGCCTCTAAAGCCACATTTAAAGTACAAACCTCGGTGCCGAGAATCGCCGCGAAAGTCACATTGAGTGAGGAAATCAATACCGTTTTTTCAAATAAGCGTCACCCATTGATCACAATGGATTAAAATTGTTTTAGTGACTTAACAAAAATTTATTTGTATTCTTTTTTTATGTCTTGATGTAAACTACTTTATTGTATCGAATCAGTAGAGAAGTTTGGACAAGAATTTTGCTTGCCCCTCCCATAAGTTATAATGCTTAAAAGAAATAATTGACTGTATAATCATAAGTAATTCGTAAAAGGGGTTTGAGTATACCTACGTGAGACAGCTAGTTTGCGTGATCTGGACTTTTCTCCTCGAACAATTCAGCTGTATTGCTAGATTTTACATAATGAATATTACACATTATTTACGGTAACATGGATTAGATAATAGCCCATTGCCGGGAGAGCCACACCATTTTCAACTCTGTATTTCTTAAATGTGGCTTTCCCGGGCTGTAACCGATAGTTCAGCATGGAGAGCAGAAGGTTGATGGTTTGACCTCCTGGGTAATTCATACCAAATGACTTTATAGATGGTACTTGTTGTTAACCTTCCTGGCTCTGAGCATTATGAGGACAAAATACGAAGTGGCTGGCTCAGACAGACAGAGAGAGAGAGAGTGGTGAGGGAGAAGGCCAGGCATATATGTGGCTACGGGATGAGAAACACAGTTTTCCTCATCTTCTGGGAGAATATTTGTTCAATATAGATATATCAAAAAGTGAAATTATTTGGCATCTCTCCACAGTATCCTTTTCTGAAATAATCACATGATCATCTAAACAACTACACCACTTTTCCTCTGAGTTTTTTAATCAAATACTATGGATTTAGATAGTTAATTGACCGAAGACCTATATTTCAAGGAAGGTGGATGGACATATGTATAGATAGCACCGTGCTATAGATGGAGCCCATGCTTGTGGTTTCCCCAGATAGTGAGTGACATCAATGTTTCAACTGACGTCTGCGTAATTGATAAGATAAACTTTAGGAAGTGGACCTGAAAAGTGATATCATACATCTATATTAACATCCTCAGTCAATGATGATAAACTCAAGTAGGTCAGGTGTTGACGTTATTGTGAAGGTCAGTTTATGATACATAAGAAGTGAATGATGTTTAATGCTATAGTCTGCAATATATATGTAAGTGATCAAATCCTGGCCAGACAAAATGTTAATATCAAGAAGAGAATGATGACATCAGCTAGTCTTATTGTATCTATTCCTCGATTGGCATGTTAGTCACCTTTTCTTGGAGACCTATTATGCCCAGATCTCCTTCAAGCACTAAAGACAATCAGCACAGAAACAGCTGTTATTTACAGCATGAGGCATATTTTCAATATGTATTCTCAGATTTACGGAGGGTCAGATCAATGAAGTTATCACTGTGGGTCTCAGATCATTTTAACTGATGGGTGATAACTGTGAGACTATAAGAAATGAAGTAGGGACAGTTACAGTTTATGGTGAGACACATGTAGTGGGGACTGCGTGACTGAGACAACTGTAGTGTTGGCAGAGGCTTAGACAACTGTAGTGTTGGCCGAGGCTGGAATATCTGTAGTGGGGACTGCTTGACTGAGACAACTGTAGTGGTGGCAGAGGCTTAGACAACTGTAGTGGTGGCAGAGGCTGGAACATCTGTAGTGGGAACTGCTTGACTGAGACAACTGTAGTGGTGGCAGAGGCTTAGACAACTGTAGTGGGGACTGCTTGACTGAGACAACTGTAGTGGTGGCAGAGGCTAAGACAACTGTAGTGTTGGCAGAGGCTTAGACAACTGTAGTGGTGGCTGAGGCGGAAACATCTGTAGTGGGGACTGCTTGACTGAGACATCTGTAGTGGTGGCAGAGGCTTAGACAACTGTAGTGGTGGCTGAGGCTGGAATATCTGTAGTGGGGACTGCTTGACTGAGACATCTGTAGTGGTGGCAGAGGCTTAGACAACTGTAGTGGTGGCTGAGGCTGGAATATCTGTAGTGGGGACTGCTTGACTGAGACAACTGTAGTGGTGGCAGAGGCTGGAATATCTGTAGTGGGGACTGCTTGACTGAGACAACTGTAGTGGTGGCAGAGGCTTAGACAACTGTAGTGGTGGCAGAGGCTTAGACAACTGTAGTGGTAGCAGAGGCTTAGACAATTGTAGTGTTGGCTGAGGCTGGATTATCTGTAGTGGGGACTGCTTGACTGAGACAACTGTAGTGGTGGCAGAGGCTTAGACAACTGTAGTGGTGGCAGAGGCTGGAATATCTGTAGTGATAGCAGAGGCTGGAACATCTGTAGTGGGGACTGCTTGACTGAGACAACTGTAGTGGTGGCAGAGGCTTAGACAACTGTAGTGGTGGCTGAGACTAGAATATCCGTAGTGGGGACTGCTTGACTGAGACAACTGTAGTGTTGGCAGAGGCTTAGACAACTGTAGTGGTGGCAGAGGCTGGAATATCTGTAGTGGGGCAGAGGCTTGAGCAACTGTAGTTGGGGCTGTTAGACAGAGTCAACTGTAGGAGGATTAAGGTTGAGGCAACTGATAGTGTGGATAGTGTATGGTGAAAAGAGTTGAGGTAACTGTAGTGGGTCCTGAGACAATTGTAGTAAGGGCTAAGGCTCAGACAACTGTTTGATTGGAAAAAATGAGTGATTGCATACTGTGCTTAAAAAACTGTAGTTGGAATAGTATGAAGAACGAGACAACTGTAGTAGAGGCTGTGAGGTTCATGGCATTTCAACTAAGAACTGTTGTATCAAAAACATACCATATTTAGAAAAGCTGTGACATCTATTGAAAGGTTTGTGAGGTGGAAAACAGCTACATGCAGAGATGTGAGAGGCTTGTGAGCTGGTGATATACCTTCTGATTTATCATGGTGACTGCATTATAGGATCTGCGAGACTCCATCAACTATGGGCTGTACCTGCCCCCCACCAATGGCCGTGCAGGGAAGTTCCTGGATGAGGAGAGACTACTGCAGGAGTACCCACTGCAGGGACCCATTGGATTCCTTGAGGTATGCCATGTTTTGTCATTGCAAAAAATTTAATACACTCTTATTTTGGATAACTTTGATGGTCTTTTGATAGCTTGAATGGTCTTATTATGTTATATTCTGTATAAAATACATGTGTTTCCATTTTTCCAAAGGAGTCTGAATTGTATGCATAATGTTTATGATGATATGCATGATAGGTCTAAATATGAGGGGCAGTAGGGTAGCCTAGTGGTTAAGGCGTTCACTCATCACACCGAATACCCAGGTTCAATTCCCCACATGGGTACAATGTGTGAAGCCCATTTCTGGTGTCCCTGTCGTGATATTGCTGCAATATTGCTAAAAGCGGGGTAAAACTAAACTCACTCACTCACTCACTCACTCTAAATATGATTGCTTGATAAGTCTGAATATGACTGCATATTATGCACGAGAAATTGACAACTTAGCACTGTGTATAAAGTCTACAGAAGACATTGTTATTAACTTAAATAAAACATTTTAAATATTGAAATTATAAGACATTAGTGTCCGAAAAGTTAAGGACTGCTGAGAAGGGTATGTGTGTTTGTTTATGATCCCTGGTATATTGCTCATGAACTGTGATCTTTTGGATGTAGAAAAGAAAGAGAAGTAGAAGAAGAAAGATAGTTTGTTCAGATGTCATGTGACTGTAAATACCGGTACCTGAGTGTCACTTCAAATGTAATGAGCATGATTAGTTTTCTATCTTTTTTACCACAAACAACTTTTGCAGCTTTGACAGAATAAGAGTGAGTTGATGTTTGCTAATGTTTTTCATTCTAATGGCTGAAATATATATCAAATGTTAGAACAAATCCGTGTTATTCACAGGTTCTATTTGACCCACTCAGCAATAACTGTCAACTCTCTTTATCCTGCAAAACCTTGGCGGTGTACATTGTTCATGAGATTTTGTCAAGAAACAATCACATTCTTGTCACTATATTGTGTTGGTGCAGTTTTAGAGAGTCTCTCCAGTTGCCTGTCGAGAATGAATTGTAAAATTTCGCTTACACGTTAGACAAATGGAAATTTTAGATATATTAATCAGTTGCAGATTTTTAAAAGAAAAACCATGAAAGAAGAGGCAGAAATCAAGAATCAATATTGCCCCCTGTTGTTGTTGTTGATAAAGGCTTTGACAAATTAAGTTAACTTCCTAACCTATTTGCAGTTTTTTTTAGTTCAACAGTCTTAGCACGGATCAATGGAGCAAACGTTCAACACATTTGTTGACTTCTGTCATTGGGTTTAAACTCATAGTACTCAAACTCTTTTAGGATGGAATAATATTTTTGAAATATGAGAAAAAAGGACAATCTATTGAGATACTGCAATCTAGCAGGCCAATATAATTATTTTGTGCAAACAAAATCTTTGGTAATGCTCTGTTTATAGTCCTGGGTCCTGTTCCTCAAAGCAATCGTAGCGCTATGACCGTCGTAAGTCTATGTTAAAGTATGGGAGTTACGATCATCTCAGTGCTACGATCGCTTTGTGGAACGGGACACAGGTCTTCAAGAAAACATAAGCTAATGAAAAATGTTTACCCTTTTTTCTCAAAGTATATCATCATGTTGATCTTGGTTTATTATTTTTCTAGACAATTTGTTATAATATCATCAGAATTGTTAAATCATTCTATTGTATGTCAGAAATAAGCCACACAGAGTACTATGTGTTCCTTAGCAACAACCATTCATTTGATTAGGTTTACCTGGCCTGAGGACATAAACTCTCTCTAGTAATAGTAGCAGAAATTAAATGTAAAAGTTTAAATTTGCATAGTTGGTAATCTTTACATCTGTCACTACATATACATATGAGTCACAATTTCAGGGAAAATAAGGCATTTGCTTACTCCATGTTTAGGGTAAACTTTGGTTTTCTCTTTTTGATACTTTGTGTTATGTGTTAATATTTGGGGAAGCACTAGAACGAACCAGGCTGAGTTTCATGCAGGTGTGACTAACGGATGATAGTTACATAATACTGGAGTCCACTCCTCCCCTGCACATCTGGTTAGACGTTTCGAGTCATAGTGTAACACAGACGTGATAATTGAAAACTTTCAAGTGTAAACAAGTGTGCTTGGGCAGTGTTTTAACCTGACAGAACAATAAGTTTGTAGTGTTGTTCAGTGTGCTGCAGTGTAGGAGTGTCCTAGTCAGTTGACATGATGTTGCATTTTTGCATGTAAATACCATTGAGTCGGTATGAAGCCCATGGATTTAGCAAAATCTGTTGATGTAAAAGCTATACCAACCAATATATTTTCCTGTTAAGACCCTTCCTTATAATTGTTGTGATTGTGTCAAAGGCTTTCATTAGCTACAAAATGGTGAGTGAGGCCCATTCTAGTTTTTCATTGCTGTAAATGCAGCCTCTCATGAAAGGAATTGCATAATAGTAGAATCTCAAGAAAACCTGAGCCAACTTAGCAAATTGTTTGTTTTTTTTAAATATGCAGGGGTCTGTAGAAAATGGACAAATTGAGGAACATGCAATGTGCAGGTACTAGCAGAAATAGGAGTTGAACCCAATAGTCATCCAGAGAGATATAAGTACAACACTACAGAAGGATGTCACTTTCTATGCAACTGTGAAGAGGTGGGCAGTGGAGTTTAAGCATTACAGGGTGGGCCTTGAAAACAACCCCAGTCCTGTAAGGCCTGCCACACAAGTAACACTAGAACTGATCTAGATAATCAATGATATGATGAAGACCATTGTAAAATGACTGAGTGTCATATTGCTAATTCAGTTGGCATTTCCCTGGTTGAAGTACATTCCATTTTCACAGAAACTCTGGCAATGAAGAAGGTATCCCCTTCTTACAGCTTAGCAAAAATGCACCAGGCACACCACATCTCATGATAATCTGGCTCTGTTTGAAGCTGATCCCAGACAGGTTCTTGAAGTGGTTTGTAACTAATGATGAAACCTATTTCCCTGTATTACCTATGCAGTAATATCTTTCAGGCATTGATGCTGAACTGATCTGAAGATGCCAATAATCTGTAGAGACATGTATCCATTAGCCATGCAAGGATATAGCTTGGTTTCAAATCCCAGAAATCCCATGTAACCACCTGACAGACACCCTCCTGGTTTCATTAAATTCACCTGTATTGATTTGACCTTTTTCTGAAGTAGTGTTCTCTGGCTTGAATATGGGTGACCACCAGGACACAATGACCTGGCTGTGTTACTGCCACATGTACTCTGTGGTTGATCTATCTAATGCTTAGATAGTGCATACCACTGGACATACTTTCCATACAGCAGAAGACCACATTCACTGATGATCATTTCTTCTCCCATTACCCCCCTTTGTTTCTTCACTCACTCCCTTTGTACCCACCTTCTTCAACCCTCTACCTGTTGTAGCCCCCATATTTTTGTGTGTGACCCCCTTGGAATGTACAGAGTCAACATGAAGCAATTACATCTTGAGTTGTCTACTGAAGAATTCAAATCACTGTGTAAGTAAGGTAATTTGAGCAAGTATTGAAACGATTTCCACCAGTCTCTTTATCCTTTCCTTTCGTATTACACAGGTGAACATAATTCATGACAAATGAGGGTAAATAGTAAAGTAATTAACTTGTGAGAGGTCAGGTAACAGGGCCCAAATAGCAGTCAATGTCAGGTGTACCTGAATGAAAACTTAGAAGACAAGTCTTTTGTTCAATAAAAGTTCAAACAACTACTGACTACTTTGTTTGATTTCTGTGTCAATTAACTTCTGTCATATTATAAACTGGCACTTGCATTAATACGTTCTTCAAGGCAGAATAAAGATGAAGATTTGTCAAATTTGTAAACATGAAAATGGACATATTTTGTTGATACCTATTATAACTCTACAAAACAATGTGAAATATTTCATTATTGTGATCAGTTTAAATGACAGCTAATGTGTGTATGCTCTGTTTTTCATTACAGAGCTTACTTGTCATATGATTCAAAAGTTTTTGTTGCAATCAAGTACAAACACAAACTGCATTATTCAAGTATTTTATTATTACACACTATCAGAATAAGTGTAGTTTACATTAAGGAAATGAAAATAATTTGCACAAGAGACATTGTCAACATGATCTCGAGGTTAAAAGCTGAGAGTTGTCAGCAGCTATTACTCACTGTTTGATTCTTCAGCATCTGTTGAAATGCTCATGAGAAACCTTGCTTCACACCATCAAAAAAGTAAGTGAAACCTTGATCCATAGGGATACTAGAATTACTTCAAAAGAACAGAGATTTCCCTTCTTTCTTGAATGATGTGAAGCTTGCACTAAATAACCATACTGTATTTGCAGATGTGTTACAGGTAATGTTTCAGAATCTGGACAACTAGAACATTTCTATTTCTGGTTCCTTGAAAGGTTTACATCACTACATTTTTGTTATGTCCAAGTTGGGATAATTTTGTCCTATATTATCTTTTGACTAATTTGGCACCTGCTTGGAACAGAAAATTTCACAATCTGAAAACAAAATATTTTATAGGTATAACTTTTGTTTTGGAAAACTGTAAGGTTTATTAACATGTAAGTGCTCAGAATCAGCTAATGTATCTTAGATATTCATTTATCCAGACAGTCGGAGTCTCAAACAGAAATGCCATTCCCGAAGTTGTTTGTAATCTAAATTCATTGTCTTGGCATACCTGGATTAACACATAGTTTGATACTTCACAGAACAAAGATATAAACAAGAGTCTCATCTTGTGTCAAAAACATTACAGAGGTTTTGTGATGCCTCAAGTTACAAGCATTGTCAAACACAAATCTGCAGGTCATCCATGCACAACTGGCAGTAAAGCCACCTCCATCTACAAGCATTTGTCAGGGAACGTGGCTGGATGTGTACTCAGAAGGTGCGCCATATTTGTCCCGACCTCTCTCTTTATCATCGCAGCTTTAGTTCTGTCGCTGTGGCGTTGTCGTCAGCATCACAGCATTGTACTACATTTTTGTCCTACCCACCAT